TGTTTCTTGGTTTGATCAAATAGTCACAATTTGAATCAAACGCCTCCATTGTATCCTGAGAGAGATTTTCTATCATACCCCGGTCGTGACTTTTTTGGAAAGGGGAGAAACATCTCTTAAAAGATAACGATTTTCGTGCCTTGGAGTTATTTATTATTCCAGATTTCCTACATATTTCCCAACAGGTAATAAACTTCTATCCTTCCCAACCAGGGATTTCTTCTCTATTACCATGATTGGTAACCTTTTTTTGAGCCTTCTTTCTCTTACTAGTCACATGACTCGCACCCCTAAAATATTTTTCTTTTTCAGAATACGATGTTTTCATTTTTTAAGATTCGATGCTAAACAAGTAAATCCCATTAAATTAAGGTCCAATTAAATGAGAGTCTAATATCCTTTCTTCTTTTTTAAATTTGACTATGTCACATTGATAGATAGTAAACAAGAGTGGTGCTCTGTGGCATTATTGAACCGTACATGACAAATTAACTGAAACTAGTCCTTTTTGTTTATTGAAACACCTTCTAAATACTATTATCACATACCCCGATTAAACATGATAAAGATTAATTAGTTCCTTATTGCAAATAACATCCAAAAATTTCAGATACAATACATATCCAAGGAAGTTGCTAGATACAATTTCAAAATTAAGAAATTTATTTTAAAATTTCAAAAATTGGGCCATAATAAAATTTTATTAATTAAATTGATAATTAAATATATTTTATTAATTAAATATATTAAATCACAATATTATACAATATATGATCACAGTTGCGTACTAGTCACAATTATAGAACATCACTGTCACGAATCACAAATTTTATATATCACAACTTATATCAGTTACAAATTATCAAATTAATTGATCACACAATATTTCTCGATCAAAAATCACAAATTTTATATATCACAACTTATTTATCGGTCACAAATTATCAAATTAATAGGCCACAGATTGTTTTTCGATCACAAATTAATTAGTCATAGCTTAACAAATTATGAATCGCGATTACAAATTTAGTCACAAACTCATTTTTTTAGATCATGTATTAATTATTGGTCACAAATTATCTATTTTAACGGTTACATATTATTTATTGGTCACATCACCCAAATAATTGGTCATGAACACTTTCATTCTATCCCACTCAACCCCAATCTACCACCGCCGCACCACCATCACTAGCACCACCACGACCTCACCACAACCACCGCAACACCATCATCACCATCACCGTTGCACCATCTCCACCTACACCACCACCACCTCCATAATTTGTAAAACACCAACAACCGCTAACAACAACCACCCCAACTTCAGCTAAGCAACAGATCGAAGGTGGCCCAAAACTACGCTAAAAACCACCCTTGAAAACAATGGGAGCTGTGCGTAGTAGCACTCGCCGCTGTGAGCACCTCTGCGGTGGTTGGTAGTCTTCAAATGGTCTCTCGCTATGATAGGTGGCTTCGTTGACGACGGTCGGAGTTGATAGTGATGGTCGAATTGTGTGTCGGATTGTGAGGCAAGGGTGTGATAAAGACAGAGAAAATAGA